ATATTTTTGACAGTCTTACATATGTTATTGGGCCACGTTTTCTCATATTTGTCATTTCTTGTAAATCCACTAGAGGGTGCTGTCTATATTTTCGACAATCTCAAATATGTAACTGACCCACCTTTTCTCATACATGCCATTTCTCATTAATCAACTAGATGGTGATGTGTACATTTTTGACAATCGCAAATACGTAAGTGGCCACTTTTTCTCATAAGTGTAATTTCTTGTAAATCAACTAGAAGGTGTTGGATATATTTTTGACAATCTAAAGTATGTTACGAGGCCATGTTTTCTTATACATGTTATTTCTCGTAAAACCACTAGATGGCGATGTGTACATTTATGACAATCTAAAATACGTTATTGGGCCACGTTTCCTCATACATGCCATTTTTCGTAAATCCACTAAAGGGTGCTGTGTACATTTTTGACAATCTCAAATACGTTACTGGCTCACGTTTTCTTATACATGTCATTTCTCATAAATCCACTAGATGGCAACGTGGACAATTTTGACAATCTCAAATATGTTATTGAGCCACATTTTCTAGTACATGCCATTTCTTGTAAATCAACTAGATTCTTGACAGTCTCAAATACGTTATTGGGCCACATCTTCTCATACGTGTCATTTCTTATAAATCCACTAGATGGCGATGTGTACATTTTTACAATCTCAAATACGTTAGTGGCCCACGTTTTCTCATACATGCCATTTCCCGTAAATACATTAAATGATGCTGTGTACACTTTTGACAATCTTAAATACGTAACTGGCCCACATATCTCACACATGCCATCTCTCGTAAATCCACTAGATGGCGATGTGGACATGTCTGACAATCTCAAATACGTTAGTGGCCCACTTTTTCTTATATGTGCTATTTCACATAAATCCACTAGAGGTCATTGTGTATATTTTTGACAATCTCAAATTCGTTTGTGCATGCCATTTCTTGTAAATCCACTAGACGGTGCTGTGTACATTTGTGACAATCTCAAACACGTTACTGGCCCATGTTTATTCATACATGTAATTTCTCGTAAACACACTAGAGGGCATTTACACATGTTTTTTCATGTGTAATTTCTTGTAAGTCCACTAGATGGTGATGTGTACATTTTTGACAATCTCAAATACATTACTAGGGCAATTTTTCTCTTATATGTCATTTCTGGAAAATACACTAGAGGGCGCTTTTTCTCAAATGCGTTATTGTGCCACATATTCTTATACTTAAGTATTTATATTATTTTTTACATTTCCCATTTATTGTATTTTATTAACGTCAACCCCCACCCCAACCCTAAACCCAACCGTCACAGCACTGTGAAAACATTAATTATTGTTATAGTGTCATAAAAATTGCTGTTTAATTGATGTGCATATCGTATTTCCAGCCGGACGCGTATCCGATCTAGACTTTACCGACCTACGTTTTCTCATACGTGCCTTTTTTCATAAATCCACCTGAGGGCGCTGTGCACATTTTGTGAACCTCAACATTTTTCATATGCGTATATACAACCTGATCTCATGAGGAAACGTAAGTATTTTATGTTTTGTCAGTTTAGTGGCTAATTCGTACGAATTCGTACAAGTTCAGTCGTATGACAATGTAAGATTTTAAAAAGGAGACATGGCACCCAACCCCACCCCTAACCCCAACCGTAATTGGGTGATGAGCAAATCATACAAAGTCGTACGAAGTAGATCATACGAATTCATACGAATTAGACACTAAATCAAAAAGTTTTGAATTGCCACGAGATTGCATTAGTATATGTCAGAGAAATGGGTTTAGATAGATGACGTATGGACAGACGGAAGGACAGACGGACGGACGGACGGATGCATGGACGTGGCTCTACGAATATAACTGAAGCCAGGCTGAGCCGACCTGATGATGACAAACTGAGCCAAAACCACTCAGTATTCATCTAATAAGACAGAGAGGAGCCAATGCTGAACTTTATACCAAGAGGAAATCAAGTTTTGGCATAATTAGAGTCAGATCCGCCGGAAAAGTCGCTCTCAAACCGAGAGCATTATGATTTTATAGCAGAGCGCTCTTTTCTGTAATGGCACAAATTTGAGTGTAGGACGTTAATCATTCATCAGAGACTGTAACTTCCTTCAGAAGGTAAACTGCTGAGCAATAAAGTGTGTTCTGTAAATGTGCATCGTGTGTGCTGTTCTGCTGTTCAGTCTGCTAGAGGAGCAGTCATAACATCAGTCTGTTCCTCTCAGGGTTGCTAAGCACTCTAAATAAAATTAAATAAAAATAAAAGTTTTTCAGTCGCCACTGACCCCTGCTGGACATACTCTGACACTGATCATATACTATCAATGCATTCATTCATTTTCCTTCAGCTTAGTCCCTTTAATCATCAAGGGTGGCCACAACAGAATGAACCACCAACTGTTCCAGCATATGTTTTACACAGTGGATGCCTTCTAGCAGCAACCCAGTACTGGGAAACACCCATACACAGTTATTCATACACTACGACCAATGTAGTTAATCAATTCCCCTATACCGCATCTGTTTGGACTGTGGGGGAAACCGGAGCACCCGAAGGAAACCCACGCCAACACGGGGAGAACATGCAAACTCCACACAGAAACACCAACTGACCATATCATTTTAATAACGTAATAACATTAAGATCTAGTAGCTAGATCTAGTAAAATATTTTAACAGTTATATTTATATATTTGACATACAGTTAAAGTCAAAATAAATACTTCGCCACAGCGGAATGAACCGGCAATTAATTAACTTATTTATTTATACATAATTATTAAAAATAATTTTGTACAAAATTCCTTTAAAATGTTGCTTAGCTGATTTCACCAACAAACTCTCTTGCTTTGCACACAACTTATTCCAGTGGAAAAAGTAAAGACAAATTATTTGGTTGTGTAAAGCCACTATAACAGAAAACTGTTAATAGAAGATTAAAGGGAGTTTTTGACATGCTGTAATCAACAATTCACCTCATAAAGTACTTAGCTTATACCAACAGAATGTCCTTAATAAGTATGATATTCACAATATAAAAACAACAATCTTATAACTGAGAGCAAAAATATCTGATGTTTGACGCATAAGAATGATGGAAAATCAATACAACACACCTTGATGAGGTCCAGCTTCAGGAGGTTATGTAAGGTCAGATCTCAACACAGCATGCATTTCCACATCATTACCACTAGAAGGCAGCAAAACACAGACAATACAGGGAAAAATTAGGCACCACATGAAAGATTAAATAAAACCCATGCATATAGGGTTGCACGATATTAGGAAAATCTAGTACTGTAATATTTTGTTATTCTGCTATTATACATACATTTAAAAATAATTAATAAATATTTAAAAAGAGATTTTAGGTATACAAATACATTAGATGTTACACTAATATGTACTAAAATGAAAGTTTAAATGTGACAAATAAGTTACAATACTGAATGCTTACACTGCTTACAATAATATAGCAATGATAATGCATGTTATTCAATTCAATTTAATTCAGTTATTTGTAGTTTTCATTCATTCATTTTATTTTCTTTCCATTATTAGTCTGGAGTCGCCACAACGGAATGAACCACCAACTTATTCAGCATATGTTTTACGCAGCAAATGCCCTTCCAGCCGCATCCCATCTCTGGGAAACATACATACACTCCCATTCAAACACACACTCATACACTACAGACAACTTAGTCTACCCAATTCACCTACACATGTCTTTGGACTTGTTGGGGAAACTGGAGCACCAAAAGGAAACCCACGCCAACACGGGGAGAACATGCAAACTCCACACAGAAATGCCAACTAACTCAGCGATCGTGCTACCCATTGCACCACCGTGAGTCCCTGTTTGTAGTTTTATTTGCAGAATTTTTATGTATTTATTGCATTATGTTGTCTTTTGTCTCAGTAATCCTACCAGTGTTTAATCATTTTTAAAATGTAAAATAGTAACGCACGTGATTACTAATTCAAATACTAATACAAATACTTGGATAGTTGTTTGACTGGGAAAATAAAGACAGAAATTTACATGAATAGTTAATAACTGAAATGTATTTTGTTCTATGGTTTATTCTAAACAGTCGCAATATTAATCTATATGGATTGATTGTAGAGTTGTTTTGTCATTGATATGTGGACTGACTGTGTGTTGTTGTTGTTTTCATTGATGTATTGTAGTGTTTTGCAAACTTGCTCATAACTGAAAGTTCGTGATAAATGCGTTGGTTTTTGTTTGATATAACAAAGCTTTAAAACACATCGGGGAAAGTATTAAAAACGCAAACCGTAACGTTACTGTAATGGCGGAGTAACGTTACAGTAACATTCAACAGAAATGGTTATGAGTTGTGTTGCAGACCAAACTTTGACGTGAATATCATGTAAAAATAGGCATACATATACTTATATTGTAAGTGATGTGAGTGATTTAGTTCGAATTAATCATCTAACTCGTTTAATGTATCATAAAAACAAGTTATTGCTGACTGACTAACTTAACTAGCGAGTTGAATCCGTGCATAATTTTCCCGCCGGCGCATTTCTTTACCGCCTCATCGAAATCATTATGTGTGGGACACTGATATATTAACATGTTTGGAATAGTTTTACCTGCTTTTCATCCATTAGATAAAAGTTATAAATCTGATTAATTAAAGTAACGTTAACACGGCTCCCAAAAGCGCGATGATGATTTGCAGTATCATGAATCAATGAAATGCTGAGCGGTCGTGCGTGACGCAACAGACGCTACGTAATATCTGTAGTTGTTAACCTAAATGAGTGTAAAACGTGATAACATAAAACTTTAAACGTGCTTAATTTAATTATAAGCGAATTAAGCTTAAATTTAACCTTGCAGCGCACGTGGTACATTCCTTTCGGCCTCCCCTATCCTCTGCTGTAGTGGAACGATCCAAGCAGGGGGTTCAGTTGAGTGTAGCGGGACTGAATGAAAGAGTCAGAAGTTTGAATGAGAGAAAGACGGACAGAACCGATGGACAAACAAACACAACTTTAAAGATTTCAGCACAGCTTTAGCTTTATTAAAGTAGATCATTAGTTGAGTTACTTTAGTTTGAGCGATGATGGAGATGAGGATGAAGATGCTGTGGCTGTTAGCGCTGGTTTTCTCCTCAGTGATTTGTGTGGAGGCTCAGCAGAGAGGTGAGCTCAGATTTAAGAAAAATACACGTATATCTTCGCTCTTTTACACTTCTTAGATGTATAAACTAAGCTATAAATATGTTGATGGCAAATCATGTGTAAACAATTACTATTATTTAGATAAATGTGCTTATAGTATGATATTTACGTTACTATTTTCACGTGTTGATAACTCATCCTTGACTTGTTATAATCCTGAGTTTGTTTGTTTTTTTCTTTTGTTGAACACAAAAGAAAATATTTTGAAGAAAGTTGGAGACTTTGAAGAATTGTAACCACTGACTTCCATAGTAGGAAAAACCAAATACTATAGAAGTCAATGGTTACTGGTGTCCAACAATCTTCAAAATGTCTTTTTCTGTTCAACTCAGGATTGGAAAAAGTCAAGGATGAGTATAACTATACAAGGATGCGTAAACTATACACTTAAAGTTAGATTTGCTGCTACAGATTCTTAAAAATAGTATAACCATTTACTAAATGCACTTCAATGTAAGAATAATCTAGTTATTCTGTGGTAATGTTATGAATTTTTCAGAATACAAACCCAAAATCAGTGTTTTACAATGGTGGTCAAGCCCTGAGGAATGCTAAAAGTAAAACGCAGGGCACTAATGAAGATATTTTCACACTTTTCTACAAACACATTGTAAGAATATATATAGAGAGAGTTTTTGTTTTTGTTGAACACAAAAGAAGATATTTTGAAGAAAATTGGTGACCTGTAACCATTGACTTCCTTAGTAGGAAAACATATACTATGGAAGTCAATGGTTACCTGTTTCCAGCATTCTTCAAAATATCTTCTTTGTGTTCAACAGAACAAAAAATACTCAGGATTGGAACAAGTCAAAAATAAGTAAATAATCACAGAATTAAGGTTTTTGGGTCAACTATTCATTTACAGTTAGATTTGCTGCTACAGATTCTTAAATAATGGTATAACCTCTTAATAAATGTAATTTAATGTAATACTAGTTTAGTTATTTAGTGTTAATGTTATGCAGTTTCTGGAATACAAACCCAAAATCAGTGTTTTACAATGGTGGTCAAGCCCTGAGGAATGCTAAAAGTAAAACGCAAGGAACTATTGAAGATATTTTCACACTTTTCCACAAACACATTGTAAGAATATTTATAGAGAGAGAGTTTTTGTTTGTGTTGAATACAAAAGAAGATATTTTGAAGAAAATTGGTGATCTGTAACCATTGACTTCCATAGTAGGAAAAACAAATACTATAGAAGTCAATGGTTACCAGTTTCCAACATTCTTCAAAATATCTTCTTTGTTCAACAGATCAAAAAATACTCAGGATTGGAACAAGTCAAAAATGAGTAAATCATCACAGAATTAAGGTTTTTGGGTGAACTATCCATTTAAAGTTAGATTTGCTGCTACAGATTCTTAAATAATAGTATAACCTGAGGAATGCTAAAACTAAAACGCAGGGGACTATTGAAGATATTTTCACACTTTTCCACAAGCACATTGTAGGTACACCTGTAAAGTCATTGCATTAGATCATAATACATAATGGCATTTTCAGAATAAATATGCAAAACTTAATGAGACGGGACAGTCTTGAAAATATTCTTGGGATGATACTAGTGAACAGTGGAGAATTTGCTAAATCTATCCCCGGAAACAATGCCTTACCATGGTATGTGTCTGAATAACATGGTTGACCTTAAAAGGAGGATATTCTTGAGAATACTTTTACAAAAAAAACGTCTGATAATGACATTAAAAAACAGACTTTTATCATGATGCAGGACATTTTTGCAGTATATTCACACTTTTATCAAAGTACACTGAATATATGATCATAAAGTGATGGTATCGGATGATAATGCAAGAGTATTTCCCAAAAAAGTCTAGAAAGGTATTACTATGGTGTATGTCAGGAAAATGATGCTAAAACTATCATGCAGAGATTCATATTAAACCCAGGTAAGGTTCCCATAGTAAATTGATGCAAATACTATGGTATTTTCAGAATAAATTTCCAAAAAACAAGGATTTGTCATATTTACATGCCTATTTATCACATTTTTGTTTGAAAAATATTATATTACAGTATAAGTGATAATATCAAACTAAGTGGACTAAAACCACTTAAAGGGACAGTTCAACCTTAAAACAATGATAATGGTAAAATACTATACTAAATACTATATTTTCCCCAATATTTACAGCATATCTTCCATTGTGTTTAACGTTAGATAACCTTTTTGTGTGTCTTCTAATAACGTATGGCTGGGTTAAATAGTTCCATAAAAGTATAGTATATAGCATAAATAAGTTTTTAAAGTGCTAATAAACTATTAACTTCAGTGCCATGCTGTGATTTAACTCACAAATGGTCTAATTAAATTACCATACAACAGCAAACATCACAGGATCAGGGGGGCTCACTTGTGTTATTGGCATAAATAGTATAGCATTTGGCACATTAATGAGATTTCTCCCTCACAGGTTTGTTTAAGTGTGTGTCCAGCAGTGAGGTCAGGAAACACTGATGTAGTTTTAGCTGTTTGTGTGTTGAGGTGTCTTTTTACACCTCAGTCCTGTGAAGACAACAGGAGGCTGAAACATTAGAGCCAACTTTCATCTGAGCCGTCTTGTCTGTCTGTGTGTGTGTGTTCTTTGTGTTGATGCCAGCTGAGAGTGTGTGTGTGTGTGTGTGTGTGTGAGGTCAGGTCACATGAGAGATCCGTATACGGCTCCATTAGAGTATAATCCTGAATATGTAGCTCTAGAGAATGAGTTAACTAGTCATAAAAGCCTCTCAGTGTGACTTTTACTCATGAAAGGCACGTGGATGGGTGTGTTTACAGCATTTACGCTTTAATACTGAATTTCCTGTTTCAGAGGAAGTGATTAAAAATGTTGCAGTTAATATTAATATTTTTGATTTAGTTTCTGTAAGTGCTGGGCTAGGGCTGTGTGATTAATCAAAATCAAATCACAATTGCAATTTGAAATTTAGTAGTCGAATAGTTCATCGCAACATATAAAATATGTTAGTATTTTTACAATTTCCCTCGCCCATAGCAAATGCGTGACTGTCCTCTGTGTGTGACAGTCGTCAGTGTGTGACAGTCTTACTAGCCAATTGAGTGAGCACACTTACGTTCTGTCCAATCAGAATTGCACAACCAAACTATGCGGAAAGCCCACAATAACAAAAGAAAACAAACAGGAAAGCGTGATAAAGTGGGATAATGGTGTCTGCAGCTTCAGAAGCATTAATAGACAAATTAATATCAAGGAAAAACAGCATTGTATGGGAATATTTTGGTTTCAAAGTCACAGGCAACGAACAAAAACAGGTCATTTTCAGAGCTATTGCAGAATTGTTGCCACAACTTGAAGCTTGACTACAAAATTAAATCACGAATCAAATCACAATATTTGTCAAAAAAAATCTATTTGATATTTTTTCCCAAATGCGATTAATTAAGCACACCCCAAATAATGTGTACATTATAAATATAATCATTGCCCAGCACTGTTTTTTTGTATATATTTTCTATTTCATAATTGCTAATAAATATATATAAAAATATTAACTGAAAATATTATACTTTTAAATGTTTAATTTAATGTAATTTTAAAACAGAAATAATCACATTTATTTATTTTTATAAAATTTGTGTGTGTGACTGTTTTAGAAAATTAGCTGTTTTATTCATTTTCTTTTTGTATTTTTTAAATTAATTTTAGTTTGTTGTGATTAAAATATATTTAATTTATTTATTCGATAATAAAAATATGATGAATTTAAAAAATATATTAATTTATATTTTAAATGTATTAAATATTTTATGTCATTTATTTTTTGTTTTTATTAATCCTGGGCCGTGATTAATCACAATTACAATTGCATCCAAAACAAGTGAACAAATTTGTATTTACACAATGTACTGGAGTATTCATGTTATTATATGTGTATATAACACCCAGCATTAGTTTCTAATAATTTTAGTGCATTAACTGATACTAAATAAAAAGACTTACTGAAATGATTATATTTTAAAATATTTTAGTTTGTTATTAAAAAATCCCACACAATCGCCTCACAGCAAGATGGTCGCTGGTTTGAGTCCCGACTGGGTCAGTTGGTGTTTCTGTGTGGAGTTTGCATGTTCTCCCCATGTTTGCGTGGGTTTCCTTCTGGTGCTCCATAAGCTAAAATTGTCCATGTGTGTGTGTGTGTGTGTGTGAGAATAAGAGTGTATGGGTGTTTTCCAGTACTGGGTTGCAGCTTGAAGGCCATCTGCTGTGTAAAAAAATATGTTGAATGAGTTGGTGGTTCATACCACTGTGGCGACCTCTGATTAATAAAGGGACTAAGCCGAAAAGAAAATGAATGAATCAATATAAAAGAAATCCCATTTATTTATTTATTTATAATTTGTTATATATATCAACATTTTCAATATAATGTACACCATTTAGAACATGTAATGTTTTAATTTTTGTGCATTTAATTATATCAAATAAAAAAATGTTTTTTAAAAATATGAAAATGCTTTGAATATACAAATTTATTAACGTTTATTTTAAATATTTTATTTTATGTTGTTTTAAATTAATTTGAAGAATCCAAACAAGAGTCGCTAGCTGTATATCATATTAGATTTCCTTTCAGAGATTCATATTCAGTCTCCATTAATCCACAGTTGAGCATCTGTAGTTTCAGATGTCTTTTCCTGCTCCTTCCGTCAGTCTGTAAGTATTTTATCTCCAATCGGCGCTTATCTCTGAAGGGTTTTTTTTCACGCT